AAAAATTGAATCTGCTTCGAGGTAATAATAAATGCACCTGGTACTGGAGATGGAACTGTAGTGCACACAGAAATGGCATTGAGATGCTGGAGCCTGCTGGTATCCCTATATAGCAGGAAAAAAGTTAAAACAGTGAAATGGAAAACACACAAACGGATGGCATGTAAACAGAATATGAAGTTATTTCCACAGAGGCCAAACCAGAGACCCAATATTACCATGCAGGTACAGAAGAAACTCAAGTTTTTACATAAAAGCTTGTAAATCAGCTGCTGCTTCACTGAACATGCACATTTTCATGTGCACAACTCACGGATGTACATGGATACAAATGGCATTTAGGCCTACAGTACGTAAGAAATTATATTAGTTCTGAACATCCAGGGTTTGACAAAGTTAATTTTTAGCCCTGGGAGAATTTTGAAGGCCTGAGGTGTAGTGGCAGCATTGCCCAGGTCTGGTTGGAGAAAGCTGGGCAGAAGCTGCTGTGCTGCCAGCCTGGGCTGCAGGAGAAGGGGGGTCCTGTGGGGCTGTGAAAAGGGGGGTCCCTCCAGTCGGGGTTCCTGCTGTTCCCCACATGCTGCACAGGGATGCAGGGCTTTCCCCCTCCAAAACAGACCCCATTTCTGTGTTTTCTTTACCAGAAAAAAAACCATGCAGCAGGAATTTTGCAATGTACCTGGTCCAATGTTTTCAAGAAATTATATATGCATACATACATATTTATTTGGTTTTAGCTTGTAATTTTGGAACAAGCACAGAGAAGAGTTCAGAATTGCTATTGATTTAGCAGCCCCAGATTAGCCACATTTCTATCTCTGATTGTAACATTGTGTATAAACTGGTTTGTTCAGAATAACTTTGACCAAATCATAAAGTAAGCCTTGTGATGTGTATGACAAATTCAAAAATTATCTTCACCCTAGAACTGAAATTAATTTTTGACATATTCTTGTAAAAGCTTTCAGGAAAAAAATTAAATAGCTGAGAAAACTGTCCAGGTGAAATTCAGCTTAAACCTGTGAGTATTGATGGCCAGCCCTGTTGTATTCACCTTGATGCTGTTTGCCGGGGCGCTGGAGTGCTACTGTAATGTCTGTCTCAGAAAAGATTGTAGGCAGGTAAAAACCCAATTAAAATATGGGTTGCAGTGTGTTGTTTTAAGGTATTCAGCAGTTCGAGGTTGAAGTCATGAAGGATTTTAGGCATTTTCCACCTTTAACACATTTAAATTCTCTTTCATCCATATTAATGCCATTTCTTTGCAATCAAAAACTCACTGCCAGAAGCCTGACCATTTCAATGAGCATCTCATTCACATCCAGAGGAATGCTGGGCTCAGTGATTTGTCTCTCCTGGAGCATAATTCATTCAAATAAATGTAAATCACTATTTTATGTTTTGTCAGGGTTTATAGATGTCAGTGTACACTACTGAAAAGGCACATGGCAGATATTAAGGGAGGGATCAATGCGCTTCACAGAGATGAGAACAGGCAAGGGTTGGTTTTGGTTTATCCACAGTGCTGCAGTCAGTGCAGCTGTCATTGATTTTGATCCCACAAGTGTTTGACCTCCTTTGTACAGCACAACTTGTCTATATTTCACTTGAATATATTCTATATTCAAGCTGAATTTTTTTTTTTGCCTTGTACTTCATGTTCATATTCCATTAGTATGCTACTTGAAAAAAGTAAATCAATGCAGCTTGTTAATTAAAAAAAGGGGAATTCCTCAACCTCCAACCCTGAATTATTAAGCTGCTCTCGTGTGTCTGTGGTAGCCAGTGTGGCCTGACCTGCTGGGAGACGGCAGTGACACAACTGGGGATCACAGAAGCATAGAACCATTTAGGTAGGAAAAGACCTTTCAGATCATCGAGTCCAATTGCCAGTCCAGCACTGCCATGCCCACCCCCAAACCATGTCTTCAAGAGCCACATCTCTATGGCTTTTAAATACCTCCAGGGATGGTGACTCAGCCACTTCCCTGGGCAGTCTTTTCCTGTGCTTCACAGCATTTTCAGTGAAGAAACTTTTCTAACATCCAATCTAAACCTCCTGTGATTCATCATTTCCTCTTGGCTTATCTCTTCTCACTCGGGAGAAGAGGCAGATGGGGCACACTACTTGTGCAGCCGTGGGCCAGAGGCTCAGCTGACTGCAGAGTTACAGGAAAAAGTATATTCCTGCATTTTCATTTGCACAAATATATTGAGAAAGGTAAGAGAAAACCTGCTGACCTGTCCAATTCAGCCAGACCCAGATAATGTCATTTAACTCTATTTAATCCCTCAGCCAGCATCAAATTGTGCACGTCTCCTTCCAGCCCTTGGGCCTGCAGCTCTCAGCGTACCTGCTGTGTAAGAAGGTGAGGGAACGCAGAGCCCTTCTCTCCCTGGATTCCAGCTTGGTGCCACGGCACAAGTTCTGCTCTCCCACCTGGCGGCACGGAGCATCGGGCAGGCTGCTCCGAGGCCGCCTGCTTTCCTTTCCACTGCTTTTAGCCCTGCTGGTCAGTGGGATGGCTGCGTGAGAGGAACCAAAACACTGTGCCAGGGCTACAGCCCTGCTGGGGCCGGCGGGAGCTGGGTGGCCTTTCCCGGCTGCCAGGAAAGGCTGAGGGGAGGCAGGAGCTGGGGCTGGGGCCGGGGGGAGCTGGGTGGCCTTTCCCGGCTGCCAGGAAAGGCTGAGGGGAGGCAGGAGCTGGGGCTGGGGCCAAGGCCGCTGCAGTCCGGGGGAGCTGCAGCACTGCGGCGCAGAGTGAGGGACACCTCCGAGCCATAAGGGCTCCCCGGCAGGGAAAACTGCTCTGGCTGGGTCTGCTGGAACCAGAGTGCTGGCAGAGCCTGCTGCTGCCAGCTGTGTGACTGCAAACGCCCTTGTGCAAAATGCAGAGACGGGGAGAAGCTGCACTTACAGTGGCATGTCTGAACGAGTGGTTGGTTGGTTTGTTTTTTAAACAGTGATTGATCTGGTTCAGCTATCTGGGTTTTAGGATGCTAAATTGCTGATCTGTTTAAGATTTCATACATTATAGTGGGAGTTTTTTCCCCTCAAGAGGCAAGTTCATGGAAAAAGCAATATTCCTATGTACAAGAATGGTACCTCCATCTTGTACCACCGTTAATACATTTCCCGTTTCAGTTGCTCCCCATGTATCAGTTCCATCCAGACTGATGTCAAGGCTTGTTCCACGGGGTAGCAGTGACTGAACAGAGCAAATATGGATCCTTCTGGTCAGGATAAGTCCATGTGAGCCACAGAGTAAGAAACAAACTGTGTCTGTCTGCCAAGGAGAACTTAAAAAACCAGGGTAGATCCTCTGTGGTTTCCTTAAGCTGTCTGAGGAGCTGTTCGTGCAGGCTGGGGCAGTGCCACGTCCTGGAGCTGCATGTGGCTTGAAACAATGATTTGCAGCAGTGGCCTGAGAGCTAAACACTCTGCTGCCACTGCTACTCTTTTTCTGTTTAGCCAATACACTTTTCTCAGCAAAATATCTCATCACCCTTTTGCTTTTTGAGCATCAGTAGAGTCAGCAGTTCCTCCACCACCTGCCAAAAGCTTTGGCTGTCTCCGTGAGAGCTGGGCTTCTTTCCACTACAAAAACTGGAAGGAAGTTAGGAAGTCAGCACTGTGCAACTCTGAAACTTCATATTACAAAACAGGAGAAGACTCTTCTTCTTGTGTTTTCTTACTCATTTTAAATCAGATTAAAAGCCACCACATAAGCTCCTCCCCTCACCAGTGAATGATCTGACTGTGGAAATTGGGTTATGCATCCTCTGGGCTGTGTAGGACCTTGAATGAGGAATGACCTTTGCTGTCCCCTCCTGTGTGTCCTAGTCAGCTTTTGTGCAGTAGGGGACAAGAAGAAATGCCTGAAGTAGGTCGCTGGACACTGCGGTGCAAAGGCTGCTGCCATGGGCTGATGGATGAGCAGCCACAGCTTTCCCAGTGAGAGGAGTGACAGCCCTGCTCTGAGCCAGGGTGGCTGCTGTGCCCCATCCTCCACACCACCCCACACCGCCTGACAGAATCACAGCATGGTTTGGGCTGGAAGGCACCTTAGAGATCATCCAGCTCCCACCCCCTGCCATAGGCAGGCACACCTTCCACCTTATGAGCAGGTCGCTTAAAGCTCCATCCAGCCTGGCCTGGAACACTTCCAGGAATGGGGCATTTGTCTTCTTCAGGCACACTGTGGTCCTCAACAACAACCAGGGATGACTGGTTTGGGATTTTTAGCAGGGATTGAGAATGAATTTCCAAATAGCTCTTCTGCCTCTAAACATCTAAGGTGGGAAAGCATGGCAAGCCTATTTGGGCAGCTGTGGTCTGAGCCCAGGAACTGTCCTTGACAGCATCTGATCCATGTATGGCAGAACATCTCTCTGCAGCTATCAGCCTGACAATCAGACCCCCGGCTCCTGGAGCCAGCTGGGAGGGTGTGCATTGCCACCATTTCTCAGACATGAGGTCACTGAAGAAGACCTTTAACTGTGGCACTCCCCCCACCCCCTCCCAGCCTGACAGCATCTCTCTCTTCTTTTGTTTCAAGAAATATCCCCATTTTAAGAAATGTCCCTTTTTAAATTCTTTTCACTCTATTTTTAAAATATGTAAGCTGGAGTGTTTTCCTCACCCCATTTTTTCCCGTGGGGAGCAGAAGGGGGGTGGCAGGGTGTTTGGCTAAGTGGGCAGCGAGGGGTTTCCTCAGCCAGTGTGAGCACGATTGACTACTCTTGATGGCTCCTCAGGCAGAACTACGTGAAGTTGGTGGCTCTTGGTGAGGGGTCTTCAGGTAAAGAGGGACTTTTAAGTTAGGCAGGGAACTTTCCAGAACAAGTGCTTCTTCAGGCCAAGAGGGTGACAGCTCTTGATGCAGTGTGGGGTGTGGGTAGCTGGGGGAGGCTGGTGTGCTGGATGCTCCCTTACGTGGGAAGTAGATGGTCAATCCATGTTGGAAGATACAGTGCTTCCCCCAGCAAAACTACACACACAGACAGAACTATCTTCTTTATTATAAAGATACACTATGAGGAACAAACTTGAATGTATACTGAAGCTTGTAATGGTACATGCCAAAAATGTACAGTACTATACATAAAAGTGCATTGTCACAACAGATTAACAGTACATTTCTCTTCCAGAACTGTGGGTTTTCCATGTTTTTATTTGATCTTCAAGAGTGGAAGGAATGCAATGGGAATGCAGCCATACACGAAACAGGAAAGGATGCAATGGAAATGCAACAGTACAAGAGCAAAGCTAAAGCTCCTCTAAAATTTAAAGGCACTTTCACATGTACATACTACAGATGTACATTGACACAAGTAGGTAACAGTCAACAAGCAGGAAGCTACCAGTACTGCAATTCATCAAACTTGACAGTAAAGGACAATACTGATTGGATTAGGTGTGCAGGAGTTACCCTTAAGTACGCCTGTAGATGTAGCAGTCTTTCCTGTTACATATCCACTTACTATGCTTTAAAGTATCTATAATAACCATCAAACTACACATTAACTGCGTGAATGCACTAAGTGGATGCATTCACTAAATGCACTGTTTCTAATATTTTCTTTTGCTAAACAATTTCTAATAAAAGCATTATGGAGTCCAGTACAGTTATTTAAACATACAAAATTCCCTATGCAATTTAAAGATACAGGTATCCATCTCAATTGTGCCAGGTGGGTTAATTTAAAAATGCTAGACAAAAACTGTATGTAAATGAAAGCTGAAATTCCAGTTTTGTTCCACTGCGTCTAGTAAACTGGGGAACTACTTGAAAATACCTCTGGTCCCAAACAAGTGAGCAGACCAGCACTGGTCTGCAGCTGGGGCTGGTCTGGCTTAGGCTCTGGCCCTGGCATTGGGGCCAGGCAGTAGAGTTGACAAGGATGGAGGTTTGCTGACCCACGCTGCACAGTGCACTGTGGGGGATTAAGACTTTGTGTCTAACCTAGATGCGTGTGAACTCTCTGACTGGATTGAAAAGTGTTTGCAAATGCCAGCAATAGTTTGGGGCTCAGAGGCAGTTCATGGGGTACTTCTCACACCTGGAGCTTCACATTGCATCGCTTGTCTAGAAGGTGTAAACCAGAGCAGGAATAAATTGCTCCTAAATAACAACAGGAAATTACTCCTGTCACCTCAGCAATTATGTCTATCAAATTTTGTCCCTACTCTTCTCCTCCCAAACTCAATTCTTTATGTATACTGAGTTGTACAATTTCAAGCTTTCCAAAAGTGAGATCTTACAGAATATGTGAAAAAACAGATCTTAATTACAGCCAGTTGTACTTCTGTAGGTGGACCACAAGTGACTTTTCACCCCATTTTATTCATTGAAACTTTTTTTAAGGATTGGATGCTTGAAAATATGTTCACAGAAATAGTATTATGGCTTACTGCTGCAATGTGCAAAACAGCTGTAGGTTTAGCTCACGCCTAAAAAAGTTTAACAACAGAGCACTAAGCGAAGTTGACAGTCGCCACTCACACAGACATAAGAAAGGTACTGATTTCTGTCATTAAAAAAAAGGAAAGTGGAAGGGAAAAGGGTTATGGAAAACTTTAGTCAGCTTGCATCTAGGCAGTAGAAACTCAGCTGCCTGTCCTGTGAGTGACCCCTGCACCAGTGGCAGGAGGCAGACCCCCTTCAGAGTCCCTGTCTTGCTGCTGTCAGCACAGCGGGGCATTTGCTGCACAAGGCAGTCAGCACGGCTGGGTCAGCTCGAAATCGGGCTATTGCAACCCAAATCACGTCCTTAATTGGACACTGAGCAATAAGTCAATGGGATACTTTTCTGAATTACTGTGTAGTTGATCCCTTTAATAGCCCCTCATCCTCCCTAATGGACCAACAGGTTCACACACTCCCCAGAGCCTGGCTTCTGTGAACTTCAAACAAATTCAGCTTCTGTAAGAAATGTGGTATCAGGGAATGAAGGTCTAACTTCATGGGAGAAGGTACACTATTACAGAGGGCAGCAAAAGGAGTTTCTAGATACTATCCTGGAGATGTGCTTTAGCTGTGTCCTGGAATGCTGCTTTGTATCAGTGAGAGCAGTGTGATCTCCAGCTCCATCCAGCGCTTGCCTCTAGTGAGACTGCCAACAAGAAAGCTAAAACTCGGTGCCAATTATGAGTTTGTGAGGGTTTGGTGATTTTTTTTCTTGTGTCTTAAATAAGAAATGTGGCCTGAGATGACTTAAGACATTCCACACAGACACATAATCCTCACATGCTAAACTTCAGTTCTTACTAACCTGCTTGAGATTTGGTTTGGTGACCCAGAAATGAGAGGCTCCATGTCCCCTGAACCCCCTCCCGCCCCTTAGTTTTGTGCAGGATCTGTTACTATATAGCTACAGTAAGACTGTGAAGTATGGTACAACGTGGCAAGCTGTTTGTGATCTGTGTTGGTTTTATTACAAATGGTGCAGCATCAAGTTTTCAAGTAAGTCTATGTTTGTTTTTTAAAACTATGCACAATTGTCCAGTTTTTCGTTTAATCAAAACCATACAAAATACAAATGCCCATGTTAATGTAGCTACTTTCAGACAATACATTCAAAAACACTGAAAAACAAAGCCTCTCCAGTTACAAACATGAACAAATGATGTTACAGAGCCCTGACTTCTATTGTTAATCCATCTCCTTCCCTAGCACACCCCAGCTGGGCGCTGTGGGTGGCTGAGCTGCCTACATTGTGCAAGATTTGTCGGCTGGACCCTGGGAAGGAGGAGAAGGCCCTATGCTAGGATTTGTTTTTGGAAGAACAATAGGTTTTGGCCTAAGAGCAGGAGGTTTCAGCTGCACTCCCATTCTAGGGGCCACCATGGGCTTGAAAGTACTCATGGTGTCACTGGAAGAACTAGTGCTGCGGCGGATCTGAGGCTCGGAGCTCCTTAGAACAACGCTGTGCAGAGGGCTGAGCGACTCCGTCGAGGTGGCAGGGGTGGGAGTGTTCTTCATTTGCTCCAAGGTGTCCAGCACGACATCAGGGGCGTGTTTGGCCGAGCTCTGCCGCTCCAGCTCACGGAGCTCGTTCAGTGCTGTGTTCATTGTCTCCTCGATGTCCTGGGGCAGAGCACAAGAGAGAGCAGCATGTCATTCGTGTTGCTATTGAATGCCAGAGGAGCAAGGGGAGGGGTAAGGAAATGCATTAATTCATTCACCAACCATCCTCTAACAGTTATGACAGTGCTAAAATCAATTTCCACCAGATTTATTTGAAAGACATTACAACTGACAACATGGCAGCTTTGGGTGGACATTATAAACATTTAAGCTTTTTCATATGACAGAATCAAAAAAAGGTGTTATGCCAAAATCTGCAAGCCATTTATGAAGTGATTGTCAGGACAACTGATGTTTGCTTAGCAATGTTTTAGTGGTGAAGATTTCTGTCATCTCTTGGGTACTGAAAACTGCAAAGATTTTAGTCCATTTGCTCACTCTTAGCTAACTGCTCAGCTCAACTAAAACCTCAGGTGTCCAGGGTCTGTATTCCCTCCCATGGATTACAAAACCTAGTTTTCTAAGGAAATAAAGTTTGTGTGCCTATCAGCTCTTCTCTCCTCTTGTTTCACCAAGTTAAATCTTAAACAGAAAAAATCTGTAAAATATTGGTCAGTATGCACACCTAAGAAAAACTATTTTCTTCATCAGGATTTCAGGCCTGAATGCTTAAAGAATGCACCAAGATACTAGTTTACTGCTTCTCAGTGGTATTGAGAAACAACTAAGCTTAAAACATCTTGTTTTCCCTGCCTGCTCACACTGACTTTCACATAGTTTAATCAAAGTTTGGGTTCTAGTCTAGGCATAAAAAAGAGATATCTTAAGCCAAACAGTGTTGTTCCAGGAAAGTAAAGTAATAGCTTAGAATAAAATAAAACAGTAAAAACACTTGCACGTTCTACCCCTAATACATGGGTTCTGACCTAAGCATGCCAGTCCCTTCTACTCCTTGCTGGAAGCAGAGTTTGAAAGCAAGCATTATCAGTACATTAAATTTTAAAACACGAGTGCCAGCGTTATTGTAAAATGTGTTTGCAATCATAAAGCACCCTCAAGGTGCTCCTACTAATCACATTATCCCTCCTAGACAAAATGTGAGTTCTGAAGACAGAGGTATCTATTTACTCAAGAGCCACTACCAGCTCAGTACACAGACCAATTTGATGATCAGGGTGCCTCCTACTCCACTCTCTTCACCTCTTCACTGCCAGGAATGACACTGATGACTGTTCACACAGTAAGACGGCCCACAATTTATGTAGCTGCAACATCTTGCACATCAGGTTCTATTACAAGCATCAAATCAACACACAGTATGAACTGTATGAAAACTATAAAATCCACAAGACCCTGGACTGCCAAACCTCTGCTTTTAATAGTAGTGGTTGCTACTAGCCAATGAGAGAACTTTGCTGCTTACCACAATACTGAGACATAACTGAACACTAATTACATGCAAGTCAGAATAGGCCAGCCTTCAACAGAGCACAGCGATCTATGCAGCTATTCTAACACTGTCCTAGTGTTCTGTATGGCAGAGGCAATTTCATTACAGTGTAATGGGAAATAATTTCTTTTTATTGCTTCTGCAATGTTTACTCCCCTTTGTGCTTCTTCTATTCAGGATTGTTTAATGCATCTTCTTTCACACACACTTTGTTTGGAAAGCCAAGTGGGATATTCCCCTGCACACACCTTCCCACCAGTGCATGTGCTCTGTGCTGTGCTACTCACTGGGATTTGCTGCTCAGAAAATCACAGTGCCATAAATAAAAAAGACACAAACCTGAGCTATTGACTCCGGGTCCAGTGGCTTATGGTCATTGAAACCTGTGTACTGCCCAGAAGATGTAGACCTTCTAATGGGAGGGCTATCGATCTTCTTCAGCGAGTCGTGCCTGCTGATGTTGGTGAGGCTGCCGTGGCCCGGCCTGCGCCGCCGCTCAGGGCTGTCGGCGTTGAGGTTGCGGTTCTGAAGGAGGGCTCTGGGACTGCAGTGAGATGCCAGGTTGGGGGAGCCCAGCTCCATGGCCGAGTTGGACAGAGGGTGAGGTGGGTGTACCGGGCAGTGGCCGTCACTGCTCCTGCCTGGGCGTCTTAGGGGAGGTGGAGGTTCCGATCTCTTTCTTTGCCTGCACCAGTGGAGAAGTGGTGGTAGAACAAACTGTAGTGACCCAGCATAAGCACGTGGAGGAGTAATTGCTGTGTTAGCTGAGCTGTGAGCAGGACTACTGAAAACATGTTATGCTGAGGCTTACCTTCCTGAATACACATCTGAGTGACGGTCAGTAGGAGAGTTCATATCCTTTGATGATGACTTGTCCTCAGTTATGGGTCCGCTGCTGGCCTCACTGTCTGCTTTTTGGCTCAGTGTGTCTGAGAAAGTATCATCCCTGAACAGAACACAGGAGGTGAGATGAGAAGTCAGTGAGTGAGAGCAACTTGGCATGCTCAGATTTTAATCCCCATAAGAAAAGCAGGCATGTTATAAATGCATTGCAGCCTTTGCACAACTCCCAGAATTGTTTATAATACCTCTGTTTACTGAGCTCTTTACACTTTGAGTGTATGTAACCCTTCCATAAAGAACTTTGTCATCCTTGGCAAAGCACTTGCCTAATACTGCAAAACAAGAGGTCAGGGCTGCACTTCCCCAGCTCTTGCTATTCTGAAGCTAAAAGTCAGCAACTGCTACACAGAGATAGTCAAATTAAAGTAAGTGCAGCAGCATCTGTCTCTTAATGTACTGGGAACATATCCATAGAAGTAGCTTTGCCTAGTAGTAGTTTTTGATGGAGCTTTCAATTCAGGGCTGTAAAGACAGGTATCCTGCATAGAAGGCAGATGTTTAACATATCTGACCCTTCAAACTACTGACCCATTTGGCAAACACTGCTAAGCACTGCAGACTTCACACCCCCCAAGAACCCAGCCACACCAGACACCGCTTACATATCCTGCACCACTATGTACTGGTGAGGAACAAGGCCATCAATTCCATTGTGCCTTCCTTCCCACCAGTCCTCAGATGCTCGGTGATAGAGCAGAAGGGAAGCTCCTTTCTTGAAAGAGAGTTCTCGTGCAGATCTTCCAACATAGTCAAACTTGGCAATAGCTTCTATGGGCTCACACTCTGGGTGGGAAGAACAACAAAGATCAGATTACATATCGCTCTTTTGGGTTTCATCAGCCCCATTTTTTGCATTTTCTCAGTGCTCATTCTGACAGAGATCAGATGAAGGAAGGCAGACTTCAGGCAGTGGTTACAATGTGCTCCTTACAAAGAAACATAATCAATCTGTGTCCCAGGTGTGAAACATCTGGGCTGCTTCGGGAGCTGCAGAAAACAACAGCATACTCAAATGTTACAACTGCCCTTGAAAGAGAGGCCTCTGCCTCCTGCTGGAAGGGCTCCTGCGTGCTGGAGACTGGGATGGAGGCCAGGCAATAAAGACTTCTGAAAACAAAAAGAACCAACTCAGATGATTAACCAAAGGCCCAAGGAACCAGCATGATAAGGGAAAAGTAAATAGGAGTGCTCTTACCATGTGCAGTGGCAAGGGAAGGAAGACAAGATTAGCCTGTGCATGAGTAGGGATACCCTGCTGAAAATTCTGGGCCATGGAAATTCTGTCTTTTACGTGATGAGCATGCAGACCTACTGAAACCTAGTGTTTTATACAGCACCAAAGCCTCGTGCTTTAATTCACTTCCTTAATGCCCTTTTGGAGTGAGACAAGGCAGCTCCAGACCACAGGGACAGTCTCTGTGTGGCCTCAAGTTGCTTAAAGCAGCTCTGACTGCTCCAAAATCTCGAGCTACCCTGGTTTCTGCAGGGGAGGCTGCTGGTGTTTTCTGAAGCCAAACACTGGCTACAGCAGTCCTGGCTAATCCTCTGTCAGAAGGACAGCCTTAGGCTGGAAATGGGTTCCATCCCATAACCTGTGCTGGGATGGAGAGCTACTGATGTCAGCAAAGGGGCCCTGCAGCTATGGCCAGAGCTGTGCCCAGGCATCCAGCAAAAAGCTGTGATTTTAACAAGCTCTCATTTTGTTTGCATAAAACCAAAAGCACCTGAGCTCTAACTGATTAAATTTTGTCATCAAAGTCTCAAAACATAAAGAAAAAACTGCAAAATACAGGTCTAAAAATCACATACTCTGATGATTCCAGTTACTGAAGAGTCCCTGAAATGACTAATTTCTTTACATAATTAGAGCAATATTTAGATGGAAATTAACATCTGGGCTAATGACTAGCATAGCAACTTTCTGTCTGGTGTGAATTAAAATTGCTGAGGTTGTAATTCCCTAAAGAACCAGGCTGGTAATGAAAGCCACTGTCCCTTTATGACAACATTTTGTACAGGAATGTCTTTTTAAAATTAACTTTGTTCTACAGTGTGAAAACATAATGACAGCACCTTTATTGAGGTTATATTTTGCAGCTCCTTTTTTTATTAACTTGCCAGCCTGCAGAAAACTGTCTTGTGGCTTGCTGCTTCTGCAGTCACTTTAAGCATTCCTGCCAGTGACAAACTGCAGTGTGTTTAGAAGTTACTAACTCAGAAACTTTACACAGATGGAATACAGTGATATGGGGAATTCACTGTTACAAACACAAAAGTAATGTATGGTGGCAGAAATTATTTCAATTACATAAACACAATTAAGGACCTAGCAATAACAGTATACATTCCTGAAAATGCATCCCTAACTGATGGCTGTAGAGGACCACATTATCTTTTTTGTTCTTTGTCTTTTTCCTCTCTTTCTCTCTTTTGCTTTCTTTGTCTCACAGTCTCTGCTCTGGACCACTGACACAGCAGCAACAATGCAGGATCAAACCACTGGTTTTATTTTTTGTTTTCTTCCCTTGCCTTGCATGGGCAAAGCTCAAGTATCATATTCTACCCCATACTCTGCTTTGAAGTTTGTTGTGGGAAGGAAGAGCTTGTGAGCCAGCACCTTTGAATATCAAATGTACTGTGACTTGTGAGTCAGCACCTTTGGTTGTGTGTTGTGGGAGTTGTGAACTTACTGAAGTGTACTGTACAAAATTAAGGGCTTGTTCACCTCCTCTCTTGTGGGAGTGTGTTGTAAGAAATTTAAGGGTGTGTTAGCCAATACCTTTTGAGTATAAATATTGGGCTGGTGGCCAAAGTTATGGTGACTGTACAATGAAACCTAGGAGTTCCTTGGTATGTGTCCAATGTCTTTGTTCAGCCTGATGAGAATTTATAACAAACATCATGGCCCCTACGGATGTCTCACTCACTGGCATTCCCTGGTGGGTGGGATTGAAGGGTTTCTTGGTTTATGTTTTTAAGCGAAGAAACTATAATGCTGACACAGAAAGAACCATTCTGGAAAACTGGGAGACCTCTAATGGTGGTAGCATTATGATATGCTACTCTGTTGTCATTCCTACAGTCTCTCTCTAACAGAAAATGCGGATGCCACAAAGCAACTGTAAGGCTCAGAAAATGAAAAGAGGTAAAAATAAACATGCCTGTTTATCTTGCATTGTCTTTAAGAGGGCAATATGAAATGGCAATAATTTAACACTGACAAAAGAGCACAGTTCTTCTCCTACCATGTGTATTGCTCATGGAATTTATTATAAGAAGGAAATACTGGAATCAGGTAAGATTGAGAAGGAGCAGACATTTGTACGAGTACTCTGTTCTTATATTACAGCTAATTTATGGGTGATGGTAGAGTTGGTCAAGAATTCAGAAATAAAACCTCCCAGGCTTTGGAGAGCCAGTCACCCACTAACAGGCAATACTTTAAAATGTAAAGAAAAAAATTAAGTCAACCAAACAAAAAAGTTTTGCAGTAAGTCATAAAATCCCAAATTTCCTGCACATATTTTCCTTAGACATTCTCCACAGTTAACTGGTAATGCTCACGAGAACTGGGTTGATGGACAAACCCCTACGCTGATTGGCTATGGAACATCCTGTTTCTCTGCTAACATCAACAGACCATACAGTATCCCACAATTGAGTATACAGGTCTTTTTATTTACAAATTAGTGGACTAAACTAGAAACAGTTCTGTCTTGCTCAGTGGAATTATGCTCATATAAATGTGCTGCACAATGAGAATCCTGTTTATTGTAACCTTCTGCCACCTGCAAGACTCACATACTTTCTCAGAGGTCTGAATGATGATGTCCCACTGGAACCAGCTGCATGAATTGTTAATGTACCCATAATGGATGTGACTTTTGAGACATGCACATCAGATTGCCTGGGTAACAAATCCCACCTCCTCAGGGAGGAGTGCCCAGTAGATTTCACACAGATTTCGTGAAGAGGACAAAAAATGAGTTCAGACAGGTTTTCCTACTGTGAAAGGGCTGGTTTTGTTTCTTTATACACAGAGATAACTTTCCTACAGCAAACAGTACTGAGACTGCACTTAAACAGTAATTCACCTTGTTACAGTCAAGCTTTAATAGTGAAAACTGAAGTACCATGACAGTTACTCCTACACACAAATGCATTTTGGAAAGTTAAGCCATTTAATATCAAGGTTACCGAATGACAGATGAGTATTTCCAAAAAGCTAAGGCAACGAAAGCTAAATTTGGGATCTGTAACTCAAATTCTGTCTGGTACTAACGTCTAACAGTAAAATTGACAGCTCAGAGGGAAGCGTAATTGCACTGCTCTGTCCGTACCTGCGGGCATTCAGCTAAAATACCAAGAAGTTTTTGATGGAATACAGGATCTCACCAGCTATAATCTCTAGCGAATCAGGAAATGCTATGGAAAGGAAAAATCAGGACAAACTGAAGAACTGTGGGAAAAACTCATGCTGCTTGGGAGAGCAGAAAAGGCAGAATAAACATGTTAGTTTTAGTTTTGAGACCGGAGTGCCAGATGTAGACCTAACCTCCCTACAGAGGTGATGGTAGTGAATTGGACCTGGGCTGCCCCTTATGCCTCAGGGCACAAGGAGCTAAGGAAAGGAGGGACACCTTCCCCTGCACTTTTTCTAGGGGAGTTGCTCTGCTCTGTACTTCCTCATTTTTCCCAGGTAGACTGTCTGTTGGGAATAAAGTACGCCCTCGAACTCCCCAGGAAGATGCTATCTCCCTACTTCTTTATATTCTGCATCCCATCAGAGAATAGAGTGGTTTTGTAATTTCAAAATGTCCTCAGGACAGCAGTTCTCTGACTGGGAAGAGCAAAAGCAAGGAACTGTTGCAATTTGTTGACAAAACAGAATTTGGCAAAGTATTGATCACAGCAAGCACTAGCGAAGAGCAAGAAAATGACTAAGCATTGGGAACAACAAGGTACAGTCTGACATGTCCCTGTAAGTTTTGTTTTCAGCAGAAATACCATCTAAGTTTTATCCTAAGTTTAGGAGATATCTGTGGAGAGCATAGTATTAATTTTATGTATGTTTTCCTAGGAGAACTCCATCTGTCTAACTTCCTCAGGAAATGTTTACTTCCTCTGCAAACAGATCTAGTCACTCTTTACCATATGACTCCAACAAGAATAAAAAATCTCCATCAATTTGAAGGTAAAGGAAATATGCTAACAGCTGTTTCAGTAAAACATAAACAATGTCCTTTGAATCTTTACTGCAGAGACATTTTCAGGTAAAGGTTGTCTGCAGCAAAATTACAGGTGTATTTTTTTTTTTGTGTCTCAGCTTGAGTACAAATGTTCTGAACTTCACAAATTAAATTTCATTTCCAGTTTTAGGAGAAAGGAAAAACTAATATGTTTCCCTTATCAGAATACTTTCTGTATATCTAAAAAAAGCCTGAAAACACCACAGAAAAGTGCAGCTCCTTTTCTTTCCTGCTTCCCTTTCAAGTGATCAACTGAAATACATGAACACCTATAAACTTAGGGAAAAAAACCCACAACAATCTATATGCTTAAAATAAAGCAGTTATGAAATATTTATATGTTCATTTATATGTGCTAATATTTTTTTCCCAATCCTACTGCATTTTACCTCCGTGGACATAACTTAATTTTTGATTTTTAAAGTCTTGTTGTTTTCTAAATTGTAATGAACATTTCTAGCACTACTGACACAGCCCCTAGAGATGGTTTTTTCTAGTAGGCACTTGAGCGAGAGAAAGAGAGAGAGCCACTTGCAGTTTAACTTTATAGCAACAGCAAGTAAAATAAATCCTTTTGGTTTTGATTGCAACCTCTGGATTATGTTTCAATGACCCTGTAATTCCTGTGGGGTAGGCAGCTCAGTTTTATGTATGTATACAACATTTTAGCATAAAACTAATCAGATTTTCAACATGAAAGAAAGCCCCTCAGCATTTACAGAATCTGCTTCTTCCATGTCCTAACAGAGGGAGCCATGTAAGTACCACAGGTCTGATCAATACAGCAGCAATGTGGCACCTCCCTTTCTCTCTCTCCACATTCAGCTGGCAGTGATGCATCCAGCTTACAATCAATCAATCAAGCACATTAAAACTTCAAAATACTCCTTTAGTAGAAGGGTTTTTGCTACCCACCACATGTCTATCAGTGACTCTCATGAAGTTCAGTAAGCAAACTGAAAAATTTTCACCTATTCTCATATCTGGTGTAAATAATGCTTTTTAAAAGGAATTGTCCAGAGCACAAACACATGAATGTATGAGAAAAAAGAGAGTGAGTGCATTTAATTTAAAGTCTGTAACCTACATTAGAAAACCGTGCTATTACAACAGAAAGCCATATTAATGGAAAAAAATGGGTTAGAGCTTGCAGGTTGGAATCAAAAATGAACAGTTTCTGTGTGCAATCCAGGCTTGTTAGTCTTCAGCTTTGCAGCAGTATTTATCTAGCTTACAAATATTTTTGTGCCAACAATTATTTCTCTGTAAACACAGATGTCCGCTCCTTTTGGCACTGCATTAATTAAAAAGGTGTGATGAGGCAACTAGAATTAAACTACTGGGTGATCTGGTGAACAAAAGCCCATGTCTTGAGCAGCTAAATCTTTTAACAGAACTTTGTCCTGTTGACAGGTTCTCTTCAGGGTTTGTCTTCCCTGGTGACACATTCACAACACAACACAAGTAATACTGTGACAGGAATGTAAAACTGATATAACAACACAGTGGTGGGGTATAGCCCATGATGATTGAGGCACAAATGATGCATCATGCAATGCCACAGTCCTGCTCCTCCGTATCCTGCTGATGTTTTCATCTTTCCTAGGCATGGCTTTGAAGTAACTGCTTTGATGGCTGCTGAAAAGCTGCACTTCTTCTCCGTGTCCACTCGTGCCGTGTCAGTCAGTTTGGTCATGGGACCCTGAAGCTGGCCCCAGTATATAGAACTGGTGTGTCATCTACACTTTACTTGTGCTCTAAATGAGAGATAGGCAAACTTCCTCAGCTTCCACTCTTGCTTCATACCTCCAATGGAAGAAGGAGCTGTACTTCTAAAGTACAGCTATACTGTCTTGGAAAAATAAGGTGTGACTTTGAGTTTGTTCACACTGCTCAGAAGAGATGTGTTGTAGAAGGATGGTGGGTTTAGTTGTACAGAGCTGGTCAAGAGGAGCCCATGCACAGCCTGTCTGTAGAGCTGTTGGTACTGCCTGCTGCACAGGCACAGCTGTACACCCAGGCAGAAGACCAAGATTTCTCTCCTACTCTCAGTTTTCCCCATTTCTGTAATGTCTGCCCACCCAAATGTCCCTCCTCTCCAAACAGCTGCACTGACAGACTCTGCCTGCCCCTCCTCACCTTGGCAAAGGGGAAGAGACAGACAATCTGTCACTGACAGCCTGCGTACGTGACAAAGCCGACGGTACAGCCAGAGTGGAGCTATTGTTTACTTTGCTCTGTGTGCAACGGGAGCAGTGTAGCCAGGTTTCCTATACATACACCTTCCGGTTTCCCTTCCCTACAGCAATTGTCCCGGCTCCAGACAGTATCCCTTATGGCATTATTTAAAAAAAAGAAAATCCTTTTCTGCTGTAGCTCTTTTCCTCCCCTCTCCTCTGCTCTGTCTTTTCCTCTTCCTTCCTCCACACATCCTCTGCAAGGGACAAGGGGAAGCTTTTGTTTCTACTGCTGCTAAGTGCACGTGTGCTGATTGCTCTGTCTGGGTTGCCTGCTGGCCAGATAGGCAGAGAGCTCACACTGCTGCCCTTCTCTACATGGAGTGTTATTCTGAATCCTTCACCTCTAATGAGCTACTAATTCTCACAAAAATAGTAGTTATATAATAATTTTGAGAATCCTTTTCTATCTGTTAAATTTGCTTGAAACTTGGCAGAAGTTATGATGAGGGACATCTGAAGGATGGTCAAACTGTCACAGTTGAATACACATTTATGACCTGGATAAAAACAATTATTATAATAGAGTTGCATCAATTTTTTCATTGATACCTCTCATACCCAGAAGTATATGTGATTTGATATTTACAGAAAATTATTACTGTTCAAAAGTTTCACTGTGGGGGGTACACACATGTTTTTAAGTTGTTATAAATACTTTAGAGAGAGCAGCTTTTAAATTCATATAAAAATAGAGCTTCAATGGCAAATATCCTCTAGCTGCAATACTTAAGGGCACACTTTTGACAAGTTTAGTTTTTGTAGACATAAGAGTCACTAAAAATGTAACATTATGTCAGAAAATAATATGTGCTGACTGAAATAGTTTCTCTCTTGCCCTTCCTGTGACTGGGCAAATCAGGAGAGAACAAGGAAACAGCTGGTCAAACACAGATGAATCAAGAGTGCAAAAGCACACAAATAGAGATTAAAGATTTGCTACAGAACAGCAGGACTGAAATTTCCTTCTTTAAAATAAGACACAGTTAGGAAAGGAAGACGGTCTCCTGCCTGGAACACCTGTAGGACTTACCCTCATCAAAGGCACAGTAAAGTAACAAACTCACCATCTTCACTGGTGTGGGGCTCTGTACTGGCATCCTGGTCCCCCTCCTCCAAGGTACCATGCTCACTGTACGGGCTGTCACTGGAGGCAAGAGAGGAACCACACACATCAAAAATACGCCACCTCCATGAGATTATTTAAAAGTATTCTTCTAATGCTACAAAGTTATGTGCAACTAGTGTGCTACCTGTGTTGTGAATATGTAACTAATGAAGAAGCCTATATGCATTTCCTTGAAACAAAATTCCAACATTTAGAAGCCCTCAGAACACTTGATTCCTTTATAAATAAAAAGTGTGTGTTTGCTGCCAAGGGAGTGTCCTGGTTTTGGCTGGGGTACAGTTAATTTTCTTCCACGTAGCTGGTACAGTGTTGTGTTTTGTATTTAGGATCAGAATGTTGACAACACACTGATGTTTTAGTTGCTCCTGAGCAGTGTTCACACTGAGCACCCCACCACACCTGCAAGTAGACTTGGAGGCACATGAAGCTGGAAGGAGACACAGCGAGGACACCTGACCCCAAACAACCAAATGGATATTCCAGACCATGTGGTGTCATGCTCAGCATATAAACTTGGGACAAAGCTGGTCAGGGGCTGCTGCTCGGGCACTGATGTGATGATGAACAACTGCATTGTGCATCACTTGTTTTGCATATTCTAATATTGTTATTTGCCCTTTCTTTTCTGTCCTATTAAACTGTCTTCATTTCAACACATGAATTTTACATTTTTTTCCCAATTCTCTCCCCCATCCCACTGTGGGGAGAGTGAGTGAGAGCCTGTGTGGTATTTAGCTACCTGCCTCCTGTTAAAGCACAACAAAGAAAAGGAGCAGCCATCATAAGGTGAAATTTTGTAAGGTGGTTCACAGCCAAAGAAACAATTTCCTACCTGCCTGTGTGCTTCTCTACACCTGGAATTCTATCTCTGGCTGAACACAAAGCAGCTTCCTCCACAAAATGTTGTAGGAAACATCATCACAATTGCCTTTGCTTCACTTTTTCATACTTAACACTTTACTGTGTGGACCTAAATGCTCTTCTCATTTATCTTCATACTTCTAACCAGCCTAATGATTTTGTTTAGGAGATAGAAGGATAATATTCCAACTTACCAATAGTCATCTCCAGCCATGCATTTTTCATACACTGGTCCATCAAGTTCTTTCACATCTGGAAAAATAGCCTCATGATGGATGATGATAGTTTTGATTATCTCATTCACATGTGCCTGACAAGACACCTGGTCTTGTATGTCTGGAACAGGCATCAGGGTTGGCCCAAAACAAATGGCCAAGTTGTATGGATCCATCATGTTTTCATCACTGTACTGTGAAAGGCTGTTATAACAGAAAAATCAAGAAAAATTGACTTTTCCACTGTGACTAACCTTATTCTGAAAACTGTAGAAAACTTTTTAAAATCACAACTTAGAGATTTCCTGTTGTCATTGACAATCCTACATAAAGAAATGGAAAAAAACCCCAGGATTTCTTCAACAGGTTACATACACTATAAAGTGAGTTTATACCACATATGTATTTATATATATATATATATATATATATATATATATATATGTGTGTGTGCGTGTGTGTGTGTGTGTGTGTTCCAGGCTACCATGTTGAGTGTACGCTGACTTAATGGGTTAACATCACCTGCTGCTGCTTCTATCTCAGCAGTGCTCCAAGTGAACTGGATGCAAAGTGAGTATACATTTCTCATTGGACCTGGGTGCATCTCTTTCAACAGCTGGCTACACAACTTAGGCACACAGAATTCTCTTCTGCAGGCAACTAAGTTCCTGGATCTTGCAAGGACTCTTGTGACTTTTGGTTTCTGTTTTTACCACACAGACTAAAATTCCTAAGTACCTTGCCTTCTGCTCACAAACTCCCACAACAGTTTCACTATGGAAGTGTCCAAATGAAAAGCCTTCATTGTTATTAATTTGCAAGCTCTTCTTTCTTCCAGAAAATGCAATGTTACTAATTTTCAATTTTGAAGGAGAAGTTGCTATCTATTCCCTTGTTTAAAGCATTGGCATTTTTACTGGAAAAGCTGTCTTTTGAATGGTTCTATGCGAGGCCTGTCAGGTAGAACCTGAAGTGCTGGGATGCCCTATACTATGTTGTCCTGCACTCTGAGGCAGCATAGGAATAGGAATATTCTAATTGGAATATTCCTATAGAAATAGGAATTCTGATGTCTGGTTGTGTTCAAATACAACACCATGTTCCCTCTAGAAAGGGAATTTTAGAGTGTTTTCCACATTTAAACAATACATATGCATGAGGCAAACCTTCTACATGACAACCCTCATAACTAGCTTTTAAAATTAATCATGTTCACCTCTTTCTTATGCCATGATTTACTATCCTGTCCCCTGTGTGTTAATTGGAGACATCTTGTTCTTCTGATTTATTAGGTGGTTCAGACTTTATACATGCAACACTGTAAAAAAAGATTGTAACTATCATCGTGAAATGTGAAGTTCTGCTGATGGCGGTTAATAAGCAGTGCTCCTCAGGGCTCAATAGCAAGGCTGGTACTGTTTAGCATCTCCATGAATGACCTACACAAGGGGATGGAGGGCACACTCAGCCAGCTTACAGGTGATGCCACACTGGGAAGGGAGCAGTAAAAATGCCGAAGGTCAGACACAGGGCTACCATTTAGAAGGACCTTGACAAGATGGAGGAATGGAGAAAAGGGAACTCAAGTTCAACAAGGACGAATGCAAAGTCCTGCCCATGGAGAGTCATTCCACAGCATTTGTGGCTATACTAGGAAGAGAAAAGGCAGCAGGTTAAGAGAGTGAATTATTCCTTTTCCAACTGTGAAGTTGCACATGAGGCTCTGTGGCTAGTTTTGAGAGACTGACAAACTGGTACAAGCCCAGAAAAGAACTACGACGGAGATGGCTGGAGAGCTGAAGCATATGAATTATAATCTAAAGCAGAGAGAACTGGATTTGTTCAGCTTTTAGAAGAGGTTACTGGAGAATTTAGCTGCAATCTCCTACTATATATAAGATTATTAACAAGAGCAAGACAGACATAGATGCAAAGAGATGAGAGGCAATAGACACAGCAAGGGATGGATATTCCAATGAAAGCAGGAAAAAATTTCTTTACTATAAGAGTGACCTAGTACTGGGACTGACTGCTTGGAGAGTTGCTGCTGTTTGAGGTTCTTGACTGGCCAAAGCCTTGAGCAACTTGATCTAACTTTGGAGCTTTGTGTGGGAGGCTATGCCAGGTTATATCTGCTATGAGACCTGATGACATCATGTAGCCAAGCAGGCATAACTGCATATGCAAAAAGCAGAATGGGATTTGCAGGAAGTCAAATAATGGGAATATTTTTCCTGTGGATGCACCAGGAGCAATTTGGAGGCAGTAAGGTATTTAATCTGCTTTCCAAACTGCATTCCTGTGGAGAGCACAGATGTAGCTAACATGATCACATAACAAGTACAACCCTATACAGCTCTGGTGGATCTGCATGTCTCTGCAGAGGAGTAGCCGTGATGTAAGCTTTAAAGACATTCACATGGTATAATTTTTGGGGGATGGGTTCATTTTCAAAGGAATGGTTATTTTCATAAAACTTTAGGTCTCTGTTTCTCTTTTCAAAGTGGTTCAGAAATTGCTAGAAGAAAGGAAACAGGAACAGCTGTGACTACAGGCATGAACAAATAACCTGGCTGCAAAAGACCCTGTTTCTATAGGAACAGACAGGCTGCATGAAATGGGGAAGGTCACAAAGACAGAATGAATCAGCAAAGGGCAAATTTAGGAAAAAAGAGGAAAAAGGTGATATGAAAACAGATAGAACAGGAAACAGACAAACTGACAGTAGAAAGAGAAAAGTTAGAATCAGGGCAAAGTGCACATAAGCAAAATTTTCTGTGAAACCATTGGGGTCAGCAAAACCAGAGAGGGCCATGAAGGACTGGAAGAAGAAACACAGATCAATTGCCCAACCTTTTATTTTATCTTACAGAAAGAAGAAGTTTCTTCTGGGATGATGAAGACATGAACACCACTTTCCCTCTCACACAACCCTCCTTCCAGCCTGCATTTTGCAATGTGAGAAACAAGCTACTCTACATCAAAGCATACACAGGGGATGTGTGCTCTCTATGCTCATACTCCTGTTATCAGAAAACAGAAGCAGCAAGACAAAGTCCCACCCTGGCAGTGCCTAGCATGAAACAGGTAGCTTGTAGTGCCTGTGCTGCTTGAATATACAGGGGTTTCTTCCCACCAGGAGAAATCAGCTTGTGATAAGGAAAAAGAAATGCATTTTTAAATTGCATAAACTAGTTTTAATGTAGCTACAGTTTGTTGTTTTTCTTACCGGCTTATTTTGTTGCCAGCTTTAATGCTGTAGACTGCACTCCCCATTTCAGACAACACTTTAATCTGTCTTGTTCAATTCTGGACAAATGGAATTTTAATTTGAATGGAATCCAGCACTTTCATTCTATTTCCACTGCCAATTAGAACATCATCTTTTGTGTTAAATGGAGCTCAAATGTGAATTCTACATAAAGTATGAGTAAACCCAAAGAACTTCAACTCCCTTTTGCAAAGGAAGGCAGAGAAAGCTGCAGTACCTGGGGTAAGCACTTACTGATTGAGGAAGGCGAAGAGGTATCTCATCACTATAAGGACCGACCTGGGCAAAGTCAGGAGGAGTTTGCGGATGTGAAGAGCCCTCTCACAGAGATTGTCTATTCCTGCAAACAGAAGAAAGTATTTTATGTTCCTTTGTATATGATTGTCAGAAAGAGCATTCAGTCAATTTACTCAATTTACTTTGACTTTTTATCATCACATGCCTTTAATTCTGGCCTATTAGAAAAATGAGATCTAGAAGTCCTTCTCCCTCTCATTAAAATCACACAGCTTAAAAGTAACAATTTTTAAAGAAGATACACATATGTTTAAGTCAAATGCTTACACTTGCTGAGCTTGACAGCTCACAAAACCACAAAATCAGTACATAAATAACCTGAAGGAACCAAGGAAAGATGCTGGCCATTCCTTTCAAATACAGATGCATTTTCTTTATTTGAATTTTCCCATCAGATACATAATTCAGTCACCAAGCTTCTCTAGCAAGTTTTCTTAATCAAATGTCCAGCTATATCTGGGCTCTTAGTGGCAAAATAGGAGAAAGGCCTTATTTTTTTTTTTTTGGTATGGAGCCAAGAAACACAAAGAGTGCATTTTTTTCAAATGATTTTATAGCAGTCCATGGAAATTCTTCTGAAGTGGGAAAAATCATCTGATAAAAGCATCAGTTCCTAATGTCTTGTAACAAGGATGCACTATCTTCTATGCTGGTCAGAAAGACTATGTGGCTGCAAGTTGGGCAATGATGGGATAAAAGCTTGAACTGTTTTTTCAGAAAAAGCAGTATCTCAGTTTTTAACTCAGTGTGTTTTCTGAGTCCACAGTAAATGATGCTGTGAGAACAACCTCAGATTTCAGCAGTGAGTTTTATGTGAGCCAAGAAAGCATGCTGCAATTAACAACACCTAGGGGAAATCTTAGCAGACTAAGATGAGAAATCCTGTGCAGTGGCACTAAAGTGGACATTCAGAAATTTGGAAATCAGAAAGAGGAGCTGATTCCAATAGCTGAAAAGCAGATTGTACCACAAAATACAATATTTAGGAGTACACAATTAAAATAATTACTTACGTAAAAATGTGGTAAGTGTAAACAGAATTACTGGTGTGTATTAGTTATGTGCTCTTTGGTATGGCTATTTCAGTATTTATTTGTAGATGCAATATGTGTGTTGACTTACATTTCTTAGAAGAAAACTGGTATCTAGTAATTGCTATTTTGGCATTAAAAACTAAGCATTTAGAAGAGCATGTTGGCAGCAGGACTTCTGTTTGCCACCTAGAAGTGTTATAGTTCACTAGGAAATGCCAGTGCAGCAAAAGGGTGTGAGATCTGCTCCCACATCAGCACTCACAGGAGATTCCACTGGCTCAGCACCACTGGTGTGCTGGAACAAAAGATTCTGGGATCAAACTGACCTCCATCAGAGCTTCTGTAGAAGCACAACAGCCTACCACTGCTTGTGTGAAGGAAGTCCACTTGGCTTATGGCATCTACTGCAGAGGCAGAATAGCAAAACTCTGGCAGGAAGTAAAAATGTATTCCCCAGCAGAGACCCTGAAGACTGGACAGTGTTCCTGCTGTGCTGCTGCAGAGCTGGTAGGAAAAAGGACTGCTGACAAGCTGTATAATTTACAACCTAATGAGTCACTCTGAACCCAAACACTAGCTGGAAATCAGTTCAAGCCATCTCAAGTGAAGCATGGGACCTGAAATTTATTTTTATGTTTCTTGTAAACATACACTGCATGAGTCAAGAAATATTTCTGATTACTGGTTAAGAACTGGTGTCCACGGCAGGGACATGCCCAGTCTGGGAGCTGCTGGCATAGTGAAGATCCACAGAGCAACTACAGTTCTCCTTTCCCATTCCCATCTTTCAACACTCCTGCTTCAGCAGCACTGTGTGCTGCATGTGGGAAGCTGGAGGGGAGTTTTGATGCAACACCAGGACTTGCCTTCTGCATTACAGCCTTTCCTGGCTAATGCCTTGTGCTAGAGTCCTGCCTCCTCCAGACAATTCTGGAGACTGGCCCTGGGCCAGGTTCAGTCACTGCTGAATTAAAATCAGACCTGAGAAACGCACTGAGCTGGGACCCAAGGTGGGTTCAGCAGCTCCTTCCAGCAGTGTGTTGCCTGTATGGCAGCAATAGTTCTGTCTAAACTACTGAGCTAAACCAGGATGGGGCACACTGGCAGGCAACTACCACTCAGCAGTTACCACGCTCTCCAGTGTGCTTGTGGTCCCTGCTGACTACAATTTTTCCAAGCAATTCCTAGACAAGCCTGACAGATGCATGAGTCAGGAACCAGCTGCAGCAGGCAGCACAGAGATGGTGGAGTAGGTACAGAGATCCTGGCTGTGTAGTGTGTTGAACTATCCCAGCTGTCCTACCAGGAGCATGATCAGTATTAAGTACTGGAAGTGACCTGCACTCCATATCAAAGCAGTTACAAGCCATACATGCTTGAATGAGATGTGTGTGTTTCCAGTACTTTCCCAGTAACACTGGACCCAGTTTCCATCAAAGTCCCTTTACTGAAAATACAAACTACTGTCAAGTAGTAAATTTATGTGCTTTCCACATTATTTCAAGAGGCTTTTATTTCCCAGCACTGATTTGGTTTAAAGGAGCTAGGTAATGATGCAATGTATTTGCATCCTGCTTTTAAATGTGGAGCTGAATTTCCTCATTGCTTGAGTGTATGCAGCACATGAGTGCTTGGGTACTTAGGAAAGATGGAATGAATACAGAACAATCTTTTTACATGCAGGTGGAAAGAATTTGCAGCTCTGTTGCTTCCCATGCAGAGGAAAGCTAAAACATTGCTTTGTCTCCAATGGCTTTACTAAAGAGAGCCTCAGGACAGAAGGGTCATCCAACCTACAGTCTGGTTGCTGCAAGGAAATACTGGCAAGCTCAATGCTGGAGAGAGCTGGACACGCCTCCCCTCTCACAGTACTTCTGCTGGAGACACTCTTTTCATTACTCTGATTTTTTTTACCTGAGTGCCTGATGAGGTATTACCCAGTTCTCAGCTAAGGAAACAGAAGTGCCTGCTATTACATGATTTGTCCTAGTAAGGCAATTTAACTGCTGAGCTGAAATAGAAATCAGGGGATTTGAAAACTGGTTCATTACTCTAATGATATGATGAGACTCATATTCCCAAAGACAAGCAAGAGGACAAGCCTCTGGCAAGGCCAAACACATGGAGAATTAATGTATTTTTTCTGACTGTGGAAAGAGACAGGGAAGAGAGATCTCTATGAAGGACACAGGAATATCAACTACAAATCAAGACTAATGTCAAATAAATATCACATAGTGAAATGGTTACTATTTTCTAGTTCCCAATTCTCAGAGCAAAGCAAAACTTTTGGATCTGTGGTCTGACACATCTGCCTTCCAGACCCATCTCTGCCATGGGGGTCAAACCCACAAGCATGAGAGTTTCTTGTCAGCAAAATGAGAAGCTGTTTGTTGTGGGAACACTGTGCTTCTGTCAAAGCAGAGCACAGGAGATACTTGTAGGGTGAAACAAGAGGAGGGGAAGTGACGCTGTTGCGTCAGGGACGGAATGAGAGACTCCAGTCATCAGAAGGCAAAATAGAATTGCTTATTAGAAAAAGGTGTGACTTTTATAGTCTGACTGGCTAAACTGAGACCGGATTAGTCTCAAAGTGAAAAACCTCTCACACTATTGGTGAACTATGAATAGCACACTCTGGAGAACCGTATCTATAAACAACTGTTACAGAAAGAGAGATAATAATTGCTTGAATTCTTCTAAGTTTCCCACAGCTTCTCACAGCTTCCCATGAAAATCCTGGGAGAACTATGTCTCTCTCTGTTCAGAGAATATGTGGTTACCACAGGGAAGGAGCTAGCTTCTGGAGTTTCATGACTGTAGTGCTTTGTGGAAGAGCCAGGCACCTGAGCCCAGAACTATTAATGTATTTTCAACAGACAAGAGTGAACAAAGTATCCTAATAATATAAGGAATTTGATTTTTCTGTCTATTCTTAACATTATCTAGGCATCTAAGTTTCTGAGGTGTTTTGGATCTAAGAAGCCTCCACCAGTTACTACAAAAAATGAAAAACAGAGAGCACAGAGGTCATTTAAGTCTACAGTAGTCTTAGCCTCTGACTTCACTTTAATCCCCTCTGAGAAATGTCTGTTCAACTTTCATAAAATCCTCCAAAAAGGCAGATCACAAGCTCCACAAGAAAATCTGTTGAGGTGCAATCCTGCATTGCTCTTGGATAAGACTTTATTTCCTGATCTCACAGGGACTTGCTCTTCAAACGTTTCATGTCTGAATGAATGAATCCAGATGAAATTAATGTCATTGCATATATTTATCAGCTAGCTCCCTCTCTGTCAGCCACACACTAAGGACTGGTTCTCAATCACATGAGATAGACATAAATCCTAGGCACTCAAGCCTTGAAAAGTGTGATCTTCAGTCTCCAAGAACACTGGAACCTCTTCTGGAGAGGCACTGTCACCTTCACTTACTGTAGAGACACACAGAAACAATGAATCTCTACTTTTCTCTTCCAGGAGAAATAACAGTTTTAACCACCTAGTAGTCACTCATGATGAGGTTTTTGAAAGGTAACTAAAGTGAAACAGATCAGAAGTGAGCAATCTACCACAGAAGAGTAAAGGAAACCTGAGAGGGGAGAAAACACTGTGACTAACGGAAGCCCCCAAACAAAAAGAAATAAAAACTAAATTAGAAATGAAAATAGGGGTATATTAATCCCAAATAACATTAAGAAAAGGTAAATTAAAGTTTAATTAAACAATAACCCTGAGGTGGTGGAGCATGTAAAAGGCAATATAAGCAAATATATTGATACAGCGATGCAGAATACAAGTCTTTTGCAGGAGAGCAATTACTGGTGGTTTCAAAGTATTTTGGGCCACCTGGACAGCTGCATACTCTGTTTTTTTAATCAAAAGAAGCAAAGGAATCACTGTACTTGGTAGTACACATGGCCTCTCCTGCACTGGAGGCGATCCATGGTTACCCAACCGAGAAGGTTCAGCCTGAGAGCAGGCAGAGCTCAGAAACATCTGGAAACATC